GAACCATGGCCAGTGGGAGCTGCGATTGGCCGAACCTGTGGAGGCGGCAGGTAAACAAACCGACCCGGCCCACCAGGGGGCTTACCCTGGCGGGCCACATGCAAAAGGTTGCCAATCCCTGTTATATGATCTCTGGCTACGTGCTTAAGTTTTTAATAACCTGGTTTGGAAAAAAAAAAAAAATTGCTTCTAAATAAAAAATGTGTACCAACTTCCCCTGACACACCCCTTTCCAGGATATCAAAGAGCTTGTCCTCATTTATAGTCTAGTGGCCTAAATTTATGAAGAGTAATAGTTGAGTCAAGAAATAGAAATGAAGGTTAAGATGTATTCCTCAAAGTGGCTCATTGATTTTGTTCAGTAGGTTCAATATAACACTTTGGCTTTATAGGAACAGTCTGGATAGAACACTTTGTACAGCACAAAAATGTCTGCATTGAAATCTTCAAATATAAAAACTAGGGCTGTCAATAGATAAAAAAAATTAATCACGATTAATTGCACAATTAATTATGCTGTTAAACGATAGAATACCATTTATTTAAATATTTTTGGATGTTTTCTACATTTTCAATTACATTGATTTCAATTACAACACAGAATACAAAGTGTACAGTGCTCACTTTGTATTTATTTTTGATTACAAATATTTGCACTGTAAAAAAACAAAATAAATTGTAATTTTCAGTTCACCTAATACAAATACTGTAGTGCAATCTCTTTATCATGGAAGTTGAATTTACAAATGTAGAATTATGTACAAAAAGCCCTGCACGCCTCATCCCTCTCAGATTTTGGAAGGCATTTCAGATTCTTAAACCTTTGCATTTTGTCAAATTTTAAGAACACTTTCACTGCAAACTAACATGTGCTGGGACATCATCCGAGACTGCTATAACATGAAATATATAGCAGAATGCGGGTAAAACAGAGCAGGACACATACAATTCTCTCCCCAGGAGCTCAGTCACCAATTTAATTAACGCATTATTATTTTTTTACGAGCGTCTTCAGCATGAAGCATGTCCTCTGGAATTGTGGCCGAAGCATGTGAGACATATGAATCTGTAACTCATCTGGCACATAAATATCTTGTGACGCCAGCTACAATAGTGCCATGCGAATGCCTATTCTCACTTTCAGGTGATGTAACTAAAAAGTGGGCAGGATTATCTCCCATAAATGTAAACAAACGTGTTTCTCTTAGCGATTGGTTGAACAGGAAGTAGGACTGAGTGGAGTTGTAGGCTCTAAAGTTTGACATCGTTTTGTTTTTGAGTGCAGTTATGTAACAAAAAACCCTATATTTGTAAGTTGCACTTTCATGATAAAGAGACTGCACTATACTACTTGTATGAGGTGAATTGAAAAATACTATTTCTTTTGTTTACCATTTTTACAGTGCAAATATTTGTAATATAAAGTGAGCACTACAACACAGAATACAAAGTGTATAATTGAAATTGATATATTTGAAAATGTGGAAGAACATCTAAAAATATTTAATAAATTTCAATTGGTGTTCTATTGTTTAACAGTGCGATTAATCATGATTACTTTTTTCGAGTCAATCACGTGTGTTAACTGTGATTAATCGACAGCCCTAATAAAAACTTATATTCCTTGGGTTTCCCAGCAGATCTTGCTCTAGAAGCTAAGCTTTATTTAAGAAAGTATTTTTAATACTGCTAGCTGCAAAGATACCTATTAATATGTAATTCAAACTATTATAGTCTGTTGCGAGCCTACAAAGCAATAGCAGTAATACAGTGAAAGTTCTGTTCCTTCCTCCTCCCACATGCCTCCTAAAGCAGTATTAATGTTGAAGCCTAGTCACTGTCCACATGTTGATATGATTTAACAAGAATCTAGGACAGCTGCATTATGTTTCAATATCGGGTCCCTATAAGTAGCTCAACTCTCTCCTCCTACGTAATATAAATAAAATGTTACATAGCTCAAACATGTTAGAGCAAAGAATTATACCTAATAGATTATTAATGTGACCAATGAATAGGTCAGGGTACAGGGAGGAAAAATAGTTGTTGTTGTTTTTTCATTGCAAATGCAAGAATATACAAAATACGTAAAGATGCCAATGGAGTGACAAATACTACAGTAAAAACTATTCTCAAAAGAAACTGATAGATACTATATTACCTTGTATAGTGGAAAAATATAACAGTACTCCGTCACTTGTCATAAGATGGCAGAACCTCTGCTGGCTTTACAGCCCATTAAGAATATTTTACATATTTTTACAAAATTTCAAAAATGGGGAAAAAAAAGAGGGAGCTGCTTTTTGGAATTTCATTTTCTTGTTCCCAGATATTGTGCTGATAAAAGAGGATGGAAAATGCTTGCTGGTTTTCTAACTGTCTTGTATGAGTACATTTTTAATTGTTCACACTTTAAATGAAGACTAGTGTGACAATAATAAACTTGTCAGTGGGCATGCTAACTTTACACAGTTGAAGTGTCAGTCAGACTAATTATTTATATGTGAATGCAGTTAAGCTATTATGAAATTAAATCTTGGAAGAAACAGCACTTTTGCAGATTAAGGTTCAGTAAAAGCTTTGAAACACGGATAGTAATTTGGGAAAGTAAATAATGTTGGTTGAGTAATTAAAATACAAAGGTGAAGTTAGTAATTATCTTCCAGTTGCTATACATCTTAATTGAACTGAGAAGGATTTTCCAAAAAGGGGATTGTGTCCTTGTTTTGCTGCTTTGTTTTGTAAAGAAGGCTTAAATTTTGTTTTGTGTTCAAAGTGGCTTTTTTCTGCTTATTAGAAATATTAGGAATGGCAAATCTTGTCTTCCCTAATTTTGCTGGAGGACTTCTTTTGTGTTTTTGTGGGAGTAAGGGTTGATCTCAGGTGTCTTGTGAGCTTTCTCACCTTTATTGCAGCGGGTGAATCATAGGATTGGAAGGGACCATGAGAGGTCATCTAGTCCAGTCCCTTGCACTCATGGCAGGACTAAGTATTATCTAGACCATCCCTGATAGGTGTTTGTCTAACCTGCTCTTAAAAATATCCAATGATGGAAATTCCACAATCTCCCTGGGCAATTTATTTTTGTTCATAACCACCCTGACAGGAAGTTTTTCCTGACCTAAACTGCTCTTGCTGCAATTTAAGCTCATTGCTGATTGTCAGAGGTTAATGAGAACAATTTTTCTCCCTCCCCTTTGTAAAAACCTTTTATGTAGTTTGGACTTAAAAATCTCACTTACTTAGCCTGATTTTATGTAACGTCATAATTTCACTAGTTCTTCTGCCACCAAAAGTGTGTTGGTATTGGGTGCAACTAAACAAAAAGGGCCTTCTGCACTTCCATTTTTGCAGTTCAGTAAAGCTTTCCATTATGTTCTTCCAATCACAAAGGCTTGCCTATTTGCAATAATTCTTCTTTTGATCTTTTATGTAGGTTAAATTTGGTTGAGGCCTTTGTGGTAGACACAGAACTACGACAGTGCCTTCAAGAAGAGCTTCTACGTCGTTTTCCAGATCTCAACCGGCTAGCCAAGAAATTTCAAAGACAAGTAGCAACCCTGCAGGACTGTTACCGAATGTATCAAGCTATTAACCAACTGCCTAATGTTGTACAGGCACTGGAAAAACATGAAGGTAACATGCCTCCCACTCTATTTTAAATTTTTTATGTCTTGTGACATATTGATATTGGCAAGAAGTAGAGAATGGATTTCAAAAGATGACTATGGTAGCCTGTTTTGATGAAGGGAGCAAAACTGAAAGGGAACTTGAAGTGTGTTGTTGTTCTAGAAGATCAGAGATACTTTTCAGATGAATTTAGCAAGTGAATAGAAAATAAAATGTCTCAAATCATGTAGTATCCCTTTTGCAAAAATGCTTTATAGCTGATAGGTAACCAAGATGGAAAGTTCAATCCTGTCTGCTAGGAAGAAATATCCCATAAGCCAGTCTGTCTTTAGAATTCTCTCTCGAAATATAAAAATAAATAAAAGAATGTACCATATATACTCGTTCATAAGCCGAATACTTTTGGTAAAAAAGTGAAGCATCTACACCAAAATGTGATGATTTTAAACTCTATGGAATTATTGAATTGAATATCTAATATATTGTTGTTTTGTTTACCTGGTGCGTCCGCAGGCATGGAGCCCCTCAGCTCCCTGTGGCTGCGGTTTGCCGTTCCCAGTCAATGGGAGCTGCGGGAAGTAGCCCACAAATTTGCAGAGGGACAATAGGGTTGATGTCTGTTATTTCTCACATCTATCTATCTATCTATCTATCTATCTATCTAATTAATTAATTTTAAAACACTTTTGCTGTTAACAAACATGTTATCTCTGGAGACACAAATCTAGTTTGAGAACTGCAAAACTAAGCATCCCTGGTGGTATCTGCTAGACTAAGCACTGAATGCCATTGGGTAGATAGAAAGATATTTAAGCTAAATAATCTATACAGAAGCCCCTGGAACCCTGTAAGATTGGGGTCTCTAATCCATGAACTATTGGAACTCATTTACAAAACTTTTCTTAAACATTACATGAATATATTGTCTCATGCTATAGAATTAGAATTTATAATCCCTATTCCATGATGAGATATCTTTGAGCTATAATGTATCTTAATTAAAACTATCTTTAGATAGGTTTTTTCCTCAAAAAGCATTTTATCAAAAAAATCCGATTTAAATAAAAAAAATTCATTTTTTTAAAATCATTGCTTTGTATCCACCCTGTTTGAAAGTAATACTGTAGTTAATTTATTGTTGACTTTTTTGAAGGAAATATGTTAGTTGTAGAATGCAGTAACTCTTTAATAGTCTGGGTTTAAATCCAAAAATAAGCTTCCCAGGAACTGAAAATGTTAGTGGAATAACTGGCCACACTTATTTTTTGCTTTCTGTTAAAAATTAGTGAGGTAGGCACTCTGATTTTTATTAGAATGGAATCTTGTATTACTTCAGGCAGAAAATGTGGCTGCTATAGGGCATAATGAATAAGAGAAAAATGAAATTGGGTATTTCTATCTGATTTTAGCTGAAGGTGTTCAGTACTCCTAAACAAAAATTGGTTTCTCTTTCTTGATAAATTGTAGTACTGTGTGAAAAGGGAAGGAGAATACCATAAAAGAAGGTATATTGTCACAATTATGTGGAAAACGGGCTTCCAGATATGAGCCTAGCATGCAGTGTAAAATGTAATCCATTGTAAACCTCTGTAGAAGCGTAGAAAATCCATATTGTTACTACAAATTAAATTTTGATTATAAAAACCACCATATTAAGTCGCTGCCTGATCACATTGAAAGCAGATATTTTTTCCCTTCGGAAAGTGAATATATTTACATAGCCAAAAAGGTAGGTTTTGGCTCAGAATCTCACCAAAAATGTCCTTGTTACAGAACAAGGCTTTACAAAATGGTGGTAGTCCTTGTAATGTGTATATTTATGCATACTATAGAGGTGAAAGAGGTGTTTTGTTTTTCAGAAATGCTGAACACCAAGTAATTTTATCCCCCAAATTACTAAAAATCTGTAGTCTGGAAAAAGGAGAAATAGTAGGCCAAATCTTAATTGCCTCTATTGATGCCAGTTAAGGTTTGTGGCCCCGACTATTTTAATCTCATGGGGTTCTTACCATGCCTTATGGGACACCATGACTAAGACAAGTAAAATGCTCAAAATTATTAACTGAGTATTTTAATAAAGAAAAGAATAAAATCAAAACACAAGCAAGCGGTAAACAGTGGTTCCAGAAGAGTTACAATCTCTCCTGTATGTTTCTCTGTAGAGAACTTTCAACAGAGATTACATCTTTGAGTGGGTCTGCCCTGGTGGGGACATCCTTCTCTAGGTAAATTAAGACCACAGTATATTATTCCACAAATCAGTTGTGAGTCCTATCTTAGTTTATCTTAGAACACAGTTGACAGAAAGCAGTGTCTCCTAGGAGTTCCTTTAATTGGCTTACATCACACGATCCATTGTCTACAGCCAAGCCCGAAGATACAACCGAATTTGCTCCAACCCCTCAGACAAAGACAAACACCTACAAGATCTTTATCAAGCATTCGTAAAACTACAATACCCACCTGGGGAAGTGAGGAAACAGATTGACAGAGCAAGACGGGTACCCAGAAATCACCTACTACAGGACAGGCCCAACAAGGACAATAACAGAACACCACTGGCCATCACATACAGCCCCCAGCTAAAACCTCTCCAGCGCATTATCCACGATCTACAACCTATCCTGGAAAATGATCCCTCACTCTCGCAGACATTGGGAGGCAGGCCAGTCCTCGCTTACAGACAACCCCCCAACCTGAAGCAAATACTCACCAGCAACTACACACCACACCACAGAAACACCAACCCAGGAACCAATCCCTGTAGCAAACCTCGTTGCCTACTCTGTCCCCATATCTACTCTGGTGACACCATCAGAGGACCCAACCACATCAGCCACACCATCAAGGGCTCATTCACCTGCACATCCACTAATGTTATATATGCCATCATGTGCCAGCAATGCCACTCTGCCATGTACATTGGCCAAACCGGACAGTCCCTCCGCAAAAGAATAAATGGACACAAATCGGACATCAGGAATAGTAACATACATAAGCCAGTAAGTGAACACTTCAATCTCCCTGGTCATTCTATTACAGATTTAAAAGTCACTATCATTGAACAAAAAAACTTCAGAAACAGACTTCAAAGAGAAACAGCAGAACTAAATTCATTTGCAAATTTAACACCATTAATCTGGGCTTGAATAGGGACTGGGAGTGGCTGGCTCATTACAGAAGCAGTTTTTCCTCTCCTGGAATTGACACCTCCTCATCCATTATTGGGAGTGGACTACATCCACCCTGACTGAATTGGCCCGGTTAACACTGGTTCTCCACTTGCGAAGTAACTCCCTGCTCTCCATGTGTCAGTATATAATGCCTGCATCTGTAACTTTCACTCTATGCATCCGAAGAAGTGAGGTTTTTACCCACGAAAGTTTATGCCCAAATAAATCTGTTAGTCTTTAAGGTGCCACCAGACTCCTTGTTTTTGTAGATACAGACTAACACGGCTACCCCCGATACTTTAATTGGCTTGAATATCTCATTTAATAAAATAAGCAACCAAAAACAAGCATCTGAGCTATTATTCTCCAAGTAATGTGTATGAAAGTAACTGCTTTTACCAAATTTTAGGAGATACACCTCCACCTCGATCTAACGCTGTCCTCGGGAGCCAAAAAATCTTACCGCGTTATAGGTGAAACTGCGTTATATTGAACTTGCTTTGATCCGCCGGAGTGCGTAGCCCCGCCCCCCTGTAGCACTGCTTTACCACGTTATATCTGAATTCGTGTTATATCGGGTCGTGCTATATCAGGGTAGAGGTGTACTTAAACAAGTTTGTAATAACATAACATTACCATAATAAATGATACATTTTAGTAATAAAATCATTTTTGGTCAAAATTTAGGCTTCTTATCCCCCACAATACACACACAGATCAAATTGGGGGGAAAAAATAGTGCATGATCTCTTCTACAAGGTCTGTCCACGACCCAAGTACTGCCAAAACTAGATACTGGATTTGTGGTCTCGGCCCCCTCTGGCAAAGATCTTTGTTTCAGTTAAAGCGTGTGTGTATTAATATGAACAAGTACTGCTTGTTAACTTGTTTTTAAATAACATTAAGCAAATTTAACTCTAACTTCTCGTCAGTTTAGACTGTATTTAGTTTACACCCCGTAACCAGATTTTTCCTCTAAATTAGAGGCGCTGTACTTCCAAATCCATGTTTATTTTGTATTCACTTGCAAGATACTGTAGTAAAATATACTCACAATGTACTATGCAATAACTAAAAATGGAACTAAATATTGTTCAGCACTATCCAGCCTAAAACTGTTGCCCTGGCTGAATTTACCCATGATGGTGCCACATCTTCCAGATTCTTCAGGCACTTACTCCTTATTCTGAGGATTTATTCCCACCTCTGGATGTAGCCTCAAAGTCGATGTTGACCTTACTGAGCAGCCTGCACTTGCCCTTTCTCCCTGGGATGGAGTCTGCCTTTGCCCAGACTATTAGTCAGATGTAGCTTTCATCCACTTTGAATACTGTAGTTTTGTGCATTTTGTCAGTTTTATTTTTGTTTTTCACTATTGGCTTTTTCTTTGAATCAACAGTATTACTCTGATGTGATTACAGGTGAAAATCCATACATATGAAATGAATTGAGGAGCAAATTGTATGGCAAACTCCCATATCTACTGTACACATAATTTGATTGTGCAAAAAGTTTCTGATTGTTTTATATGAGAGTGACAGCCATAGGATATTTCATTTATTTACAGCATAGCTAAATAATCATTTGTAGTAGGTGAAATTGTTTTAATTTTTCTCACTACTCGGCTGCCCTTGCTGAAAAATATTGGTATGGGCCTAATGATTGCGGATAGGTGCAATTCTGTTATGATGTTGTAATTCAGTCTTGATCTGATTATTTTCCTATCCGTTTGTTTATTGAGACCGGAAGAGCTTTTAACTCATTGCGAGATGGAATGTCAAAATGGTTTCTGGTAAGTTTGAGAATCTGACACATTTCAGGACTTTGTTGCCT